GAGGTGCTGGGTGGGCAGTGCTGGTGGCATGAGCTCTTCTGCAGCTGGGATGTGTAAAAGAGGATTTACAGCAACCAAAACCAGGTACCAGAGGAAGCTCAAACTGGGACTGGGGGAGAGATGCTCCAGGGGGTGATTTAGAGGCCAAGTCTCATTTTTACATTCTCCTCCATTGTCCAGGAAGACTCTTCTGCCTGCACTGGCAGCCTAAAACACTGAACCCTAGGGAGGGGGATGGCTCTGGGTACACCAATATTTTTAATTCTTGAGTCACTCAGGCATGCCTGGAAATGATACTTTATTCAGTATGAAGCAGATGAACCTGCTTCCTTCAGCCCTAATTCAGCACAGCCCTTCCCAAAGTCACACTCTGCTGGAGCTGAAGCCCAGGCTCRAAGGGAAACACCCTTTGATTTGGGTGCTGCTGTGGGAATATGGGGCTTTGGGAGGCTTAGGACRATGGTTTATGCACCAAATCCAGGCAGAGGATGGATTCACACTCAGACAAGAGCTGTGGGGTCTTTCCAACCCTCTCCCTCCTTTCCCCCCATCCGGTGCTGTCATTCCAGGGGTGCTGCCCCTGCCTTTGGTACCTTTTTCCCATTGGCTTCCAGCACCATTTTTTCTGCCATGGCTTTGGTCTTCCCATAGGGCAGCTCCACTTCCCCTSTGTACTCGGTGTCCTCATTTCCTCTGGAACAGAGTGTGGGGACAGAGAGTGACCATGGGGTCACCTGTCCCAGCCCAGTTTGCTCCGCATTCCCTGCTCCCCAGCTGGCTGGGAGCTGTGGGAATCTGAGATCCTCACTTTGGGAGGAAGAAGGAATTCCTCAAGGAATACCTGGTGGCTCGCAGACAGGTCTGCATGAGGGCAGAGGTTGGATTTCTGGGAGCTCAGTTTCGTTTTRTCTGACAGCAGGATTGAAATAACATTCCAGCAGACAAATCAGAAAGCAGTGGAATTACATTTTTAAGCAACTCACAGAAGCAGAACAGAGGTGGAAAGAGCAGGAAGATGGAGGGCAGAGAAATAAGAGCAATCCTACTTCATTTTTTCATTAGAGGCAGAGAAARGCCTCTCATGAGCCATAAACCAAAAGGAGAAACTGCTGCTTAATTTTCTCACAGAGTTGATTAAAGCTGGGAGGSGTTTGCTGGGGATGTGGTGGAGCTGCTGGAGCCCTCCTGGAAGTTTGGCAATCCGCAGGGAGGGCTTTGCTGGGGCTGCTCCTTCATCTGTCCTCCCAAACTGCCCTTGAGGTGAAGGACAAGCTGGGGGCACAGCCTGCTCCTCAGGCTCCCATGGGGACAGCCTGTGGGATCAACATGGAACAGGGCCTGGAGTAATCCCCAGGAGAAAGCAGAAGGCAGCTCTGCTCCCCACAGAGGGAATCAGTGCTTCATCCCAGTGGTTTTGGATCAGCCTGAGGGCATCGTGGGGTTTGCTGAGGCRTCTCCAGTGGGCTCTGGAGGGAAGAAACCTGGCCTGAAGCATTGGGAAGGAGCATCCACTCGCTCCTGTGCTCTCCTGAGAGCAGGGATCAGCTCTCTCCCCCTCCAGGCTCTGCTGGAGACTTTCTCCCCATTTTAAAATTAATTTGCTCTACATTTTGCTCTCTGAGAGAAACTCACCCCAGCAAACCAGGACCCTGCCAGGCACGGGGTACCCGTGAATTCTCACTCTCCTTTGGCAGATGGGCTCGGATCCAYGCCCTGGAAGGGTTCAGGCTCCTGTGAGGAGCTCACACAGCAAATCTGCRGCAGAGCTAGTTTTGTCAAGCACTGGGCTTTGGGAGTGCCAGCTCTGGCTCAGGCTCCCTGTCTGACCTTGGGCAAGTTCCTTTCTCTGTTCTGGCTCAGATCTCCCTGTGCAAACCGTGGCTGCTGCTGCCTCTGCCCGTCCAGCAGCCTGGCACGTTGTGAGTGGGATATCCCAGCTGAGATCGGCCTCTGCCAGCCCTGCAGAGACAAAATAAACCAAGAGCAGCAGAAACGCAGCCTCCATCACAAACCCCTCCTCCCCTCCCCTTGTTTGCGGGGAGGATGAGCAGTAGGCAAACCAAAAAACAAGCAAGACAAAAGATTGATTGTGCAAGGGTTGTTGCAAGCCCAAGACAATTAGCGGGCGGTTATCTAGAAGTTCTAGTTTTAATTGCTTTCTCTCTCTCCTTTTT